TAGTTGCACAATTAACTTCTCGAACTTCGAGGGTCAGTATGTTGCAGAGTTAGCTGCTGTGATTCCCTGCGATCTTGCTACGACACGAGAAGTGCAAAAATGCATAATCGCACCGGCCCGCCTGGTGCGTTCCAGCCTGGGTTCTGGCTCGTGTCGGCACCATGCTAAGCATTGTTGCCGCATTATTATTTTTGAATGCTTTGAAGAGCAACGTATCACGCAGGGATTTTGCCAGTTCAGTCGAACTTTTATAACAGTTTGACTGGTTATTGCTATTGTACAGCACTTCAGACTTCCTCAAGTTAAGTTATTTTGAATTGCTTTTGCGACAAGCGTTAAGACAGTGTCTTGGCTCTGCTTCTTGTACCGACGCTTTTGTTGTTTATTTGAATTACAGTATTTCCTATTTGCACTCTCAGCGAGTTTTTTTTTTTTCACTTTGACCTTCGTATATTTTAAATGTTTATGCATTTTCAGAACTTCTCGAGCGAGTTAATTTTATCGAAAGTTCTTATCTCGCCTACTACTGAGTGTTTTTTGAATTATAGGCTTCAACAGTCAGTCAGCAGTTGAATGAATTACTAGGATTTAACGCAAGCTCAGTGCTGCGAAGCGATTTGTTCACCAGTCTTAAGACACACCGGGAACTGCAAGCGGTTCTAGCAGTATTCAATGAATTTTGCATTCCCCGTACTGCTATTGTTCAGCAGTATCACAAATTCACTGCAAGTAAGCATTCTTTCAATTTTCATGTTTTTTATGCATTTTTTCGCATTTGAACATTTAATTGATTAAAAACATATTAAATCAAGACTTGCTCCCTCTGCATGTATACCTTTCTGGATCTCTGTCTGTATGGATATTTGTGCCCGTGTTCATGTATTGCTGCGTTCCGTAGTTCAGCTTCACGAATGCTGAAAATTTGAAATTTCCTAACTGCTGCGACTAGCCAAAATACTTAATTGCGGGTGTTGCCGTTTAGTAGTTAGTGCACTTGTCGCTGTTAGCTTATTATTTAATCGTTATTTTAAAAAGGTATTTTTTTTTCATGTTTGATCAAGCATCATTGATTTGCAGAATAGGGTTGCAGGCATGCGATTATATAACGCTGGTCAAATGTTTCATAAATATCCTGGATGAATGGGCATGGACATTGTATGAATTAAAGGATAATGTTGTTACAATCAATGAAAATCAGTGTGAACATCTCAGGCAGCTGGATTTGTGCATTCAGGTAGATATTGTTTCCGCGCTTTACCAGTCTCAAACTCCAAAGGACTGGCTGCAAAATTTGAGCATACAAACAATTGAAATTTTATCCAGTTTTGCGACCAGGTCAATTTTGCAGTTTTTTTTCTGTGTGATTCGTTATCAAGAGTCTATGACGGAGGGGGGAGAGGGGAATTCATTGAACACAAGAAACATAATTATTAGTTTTTAATTATTATGTTTCTTGTGTGCATGCTTTTCTAGAAGTTTTGTATCCATAGGCGGGGTTTTAGACGTCCACTGTGTTAACCATTCGGCGGGCCTACTGGTTGTTTGGAAAGGTATAAAGCCGAAACAACACTGGTTATCTGAAATGTTCAGACGAAATTGCGTAAAAAACTGGAGGTTGGAGCTGAGCAGAACCGATGAATCTGCTTTGGCACCTCCCTTAATCCAACTGCGCATCGGTTCTTAGCGTTTTCTTGATTATAATTTATGACAGTTGGTTCTGAATTTTAAGACGATGAGAGGGAAGTCGCTGAGTAAGAGCACTGCAATAGCTTAGGCTGGCGCGAGCGAAAGAGGAAAGCCGCAACTATTGAGTAATAACTGTGTCAGTTTGCGAGGTGTCACAGCTGAGACGATATTAGATGTGCTGCTGTAGTTGTGAATAGCCAGTCCTTTTACCGCCACCTGGATATCGCCGTGTTTGGGAACACATTAAATTCCCACATGAATCAGATATTTGTGGGACGTGTTACGACATCAGTAAAACCGCTCCTGCTTCTTTTTTGCAAACGTTTGATTTTATCCCAACGAAAACCCTAACAGAGATCAGTCAGAAAAATTTAACCTTCCTGCTTTTCTTCGAAAATATCCACAAGTCTGTATTTTCCTCGAATGTTACAGGGAGGACGCAAAGATGCAAATGCCGTACAGAGACAAAATACTCTTCTTGAGAGGCTGTGCTTTCAGGATGCTGGACCAATAAAGCATGAATGCGATCATAATCAAATTGTTGCTGCATCAAATACGGTCAGCGATTTGCTGACGCACCGGAAAAATTCGGGCAGCTTCTTGAAGAGTTATTATCTGTTAACATATGCATGTTCGCAGGTCAGTTGCAAAACGACTGTTATCCTTTAATCCGCCCAAAATGGTTTACTGCCCCGATTTGGGACAGCAGTTTGTTCAGCCTCGGTTAAGCTACCCGTTATATTGTTGCTAAAATCGCGTAGGTTTATTCTGTGTGGTTCTCAACATTATTGAAGTACAACCCAGTCTAACTGCCTGTCGTTCCCAGCATCTTGCAGTTCTGCAACAATTCCTTTAGTGCCAGGTACCGCTTTACCAAGATCGGATGAACTGTGACTTATCTTTTTTCATGTAGCGTGAAAAGATGAGGCGCTGTGCTACCTTGTTTGTTTTGCTGCCAAAATTCAATTTTGTCCCTTTAGCAAACCTTTCAGAAAAATTCAAATTTTGACAAGACAGTTTAGCTTAAATACAATTGAGTGAATGCTAATAAAATTTGATGTTAAATGTTTAATTTGTCTGAGAGCAAAATATTTAAGAAATATAACATTTGCTGAAAAATGTTGCATAGGATCTCTGGTCAGAGCAACTAAACAGATTCAGAATAAGGCAGTGTGTTTTGGCGTAACAGTCGAGTCGAGGAGGGCGGGGTGGGGGAGGGGGGGGGGG